CTTCCTCATCGCCGATGTAGCCCAGGTTCTCTCGCAGTTCTTGCCAATCCACGAAGTCTAGTTGAAGGCTCTGTAAATGTTGCGAATTGGTCCGAATGGCGATCGCAAGGGTGTCGAGATCTTCTGGACGTGGCCCTTTCCAGCAAAGGTCGCGTAGATTGCGGAATGAGGCCAAGTCAATATCATAGTGGTCATGGAAATATTCATGCTGACTGCAGGCGTAGTCTGTTGTCAAACTCAAAGACCGAATTCGATGATGTTTTAGTGGGAGGATCCCGTTCGTATCGAGAATTTCCGGCGGCACGCATGTACCCAGATTCCAACTAGGTATTTTGTCAGGTGGTCTAGATTTACCATGCGGCGAAAGACGCTCACCTGAAGCCTTGCAATTGGCCGTCCATGAATTCGTCTAGCAAAAGCTTTGCCCTTTGAGAGAGCTGTTTGAAACGTGGTTCGAGCTCGAAGTCGCCGTCAGAATCGAAATCGCCCTCGTCAGAGTCCCATACATGGGCGTCGTCTTTCAGGTGGGGACATCTCGACAAGGTAGCATATTGCATGTTCGTATGGAAACGGACGTGTGTGGCAAGGCGCGCAAAGTTTGGCGACGGGAATGCATCAGGAATTTTGTGTAAGTGATATTCACTCCACGGCCTGATCATGATCGATCGCCAGAGTATTCTGGCAATAAACGTGTGCATAGGTTTTGAAGTCAGGGAGAGAGATTTCAGATCAGGTTTGTGTAACTGGGGCCGTTAGCAGGATGTGTAGGTCGAGATTTAGCCGGCTCGCCTTACTCTTGCGAATACAAGCTGCAAAATGTCCAGGGGCAGTCTCATCAGCATGCAAAAATGCCCTGACCTGGTAGACGTGGGCGCGGTAGATCCCATGGCGCTGCTGAGGCCGGCGCACAGCGATACTTCCTGCTGCTTGATGGGCAAGTGTCACAAAGAAGTATCGATGGAATGGAGCCGCTCAGAACAGAAATTGGACGGCGTAACTAGAGGAGAGGCATGATGTCGCACTCGGTTATTGGCACATTGCTGGTGACAGCACGGGC